TTGATATCAAATGAAACAGATCTAGTGTGTTTTATATTGTCAGCGATTAATAAAATGAGATGATATACATCTATATCGGCTCACAGATTCGAGTACAGAAATGAATCTGAACATCTGAGAATTGCTGATACTTATCACACCAGCATACATTAGGTCTAGAATTATTTACAACTTTAGAGAATTACATAACCCATCCATTGCTGTCAACATATTCCAACACTTAGTTACATGTAAAGTGACTATATTCTCATTTGAAATGACTTGCTCATCTCAGGAATTGTCAATGACTTCAGCATTTCTTTCAAAATATTAGTGAACTCAAGGATGATTATAAGTTATTGCATAAATAAGAAAGTATATTTTGAGTAAAACTTTTTTCAGCATCAATACCATCTCATTAATTTAACTGAAGTTAAAGGGATCATATACTGAATGCAACAATATTAGTCAAACGAATCATGTACAGTATTCAGACATAACAAAATTTTATTCACTCAAGGATTTCTGATGAATATGAAGAGGATTTAAACCTATTTCTGTAAGATCACTAAGGCTACAATCGGATAAATTTAACTACCATATACTTTGGTCAGGACAACGGATAAGTTATTGGGCACGCTAACATAAGAAGTGTGGTGCACAGAGCAATGCATAAACCCCTGAGAAAGGTTTAGCACTATTTCTTTATCAATATACTCTGAAAGTGAGTGCAGCACAAACAATTTACAATCAAGTTAATTCATGAGGACTGACTGGTTTAACGGTCACTTTCACCATGAACTGCTATCAGTTGGGGAATCACTTCTAACCTGAGAGCACTGTTTCGTTCAAGTCTATGACTCATCAACAGTTCACACCAATGAGTGATCAAGTTCAGAACAGTCGAACCTGGGAGGGAGCACATTACCCACCACCCACCCACACACAAGGTCAGAATCTAATGGTTCCCATTTTTTTAATGTCTATTCATTCACGATATAGAGTGAGTACTTATCAATGTTATCAGCAAATGTGTCCCTACGCCCTACTTGATCAATCTCACAGGTTAGTATTCTCAAAAGGACTTCAAAAATTCCATCTCGAAAGAAATCCCTGATGGTCAACACTTACTTCAACCTCACTAAAAACTGCTTTGCTCATCTGTCAAGAATCCCTCGAAAACAGTTAACTAAATATTTCGACAGCCTGTTAATGGCACTGCATATAAATTAATGAAATCACTATCTAATATCCAGTGTGAAACTGAATGTTCCATTGACTAAAAAGAGTGATATACTCGATATTCTTATCCACAGTGTTTAATCGTAATTTGCTTTGAAATGAACTTTTCGAAGTCGACTAAGTTAAGAGTGAGAAAATATATTCGCTGAAAGCATTGGTTGACAGTATGAAGTATGAAGATGTGAACCATTAGATCTCAACCCTATGGCTAGGTGGTAATGTGCTCCCTGTGAGACTTAACTGTCCCAGATTTTGTCTATTGAAAGAGTTCATGGGTGTGTACTGCTTAAGAGTCTCAAACTAAAACGAGACAGTTGTTTAGTGTTCCCAAACTTTTAATGCTACCGTAACTGATGTCAATCTATAATGAAGTATGAATTCAAAATGCTTCTAAGGCTTGATTAACTCCAATACAGTTTAGTTCAGAAAATATCAATTGAAGTAATGCGAAATGGGGATTGATTGAATGGTTGTCTAGTTCCATGCGCTGATCAAATTCTATCGATTACTTTACAATATAACCACTTGACTAGGAGACTTACGAACACGATGCACTGAGTTAGATGTTGATTGGTGGAGGCAATCAACAGGTGGCCCCGGACCTAAGTTTCGTGTATTTCGGCACGTCTTCGACTCCAGCATTGAATAATGCAAGACATCAGTCGTATTCAAGTTGAAGATACACCTTTCTGAGAAGCACCAAGAAGCAGAAAAACCTACGAGGGGGCGAAGTTCCCTGTCGATCACATGCATCCAACAAACGCGGATTACTGGACCATACTTTATCAACCCATTTCAGCAGCGTGTATACTGAACATCATGAAAGTGACCTGCTTTACAGTAAGAAAATCAGTTTGTCTTTCAACTCAGAGACTGATACAGTTGACAAACAGAGGATAGATTAAACAAGTGAGGCTATAAATTATCGCCAACGGAATTGAGTATACAAACAAAGAGGATTTTGTAGTCTGTATGTAGTACAATAGACAACTTTGCAACATAATACAGTAAACAGATATAACTGCCATTCAATTAAATCTTATCTTGAATTCAACTAATTTTAGGAAAATATTATCAGTAATTGTAAATCTAGAAAAAAAACTTCTATCAGTTGTTAATAATGATAAAATAACACCTGCGTAACCTTTTCTTACCCATCTGTTACAAAACAAACAAACAAACAAAAGACACATGCGACAAAATAGTACAATTACTTTCATGTACTGTTGCTAGCAGTACTATTTTCTGAGTTTAGGAACTCCACTTTCAAATAATAGGTACCAGGTTCGAATCCGACTCCTTTTTCCACCTCAGCAACCTTGTAGTCTCCATAAACCCTTGCATAACAAGTTTGAGATATATGATTATTATTTTTAGTATTCATTTTAATGACTACAAGTTTCTCTATAATTGAAGATCATGCATCACATTAAGCATACACACAAGACTTTCACGCGTAAAGAGTCTTCAAACTATAGTGTCTGTTAAATGGGCATTAACACCATGAAGATAGATCAGTGAATGAGCATCTACTCCTAGAGCTTAAAAAGTATACCATCAACACACTTATACAAGAGTAATCAGATTGAGAAGAAAGAATTTATTTCATTACTGATAAATTGATATTTCACAAATTTGTGTATGTGTGTGTGTAAAACTAAATCAAAGAAATGAAAGCATCCAGTGAATAAGGCAAATATATAATCACCTTTATAGTATGAATAGAATAAATGAATAAAACAAGAGACAGAAGAAGAAAAAAAAAGAAGAAGAGTACCCAACTGTAAATAACCTTGAGAGAAAATGAATGATGGAATGAGTATTTCAGTAAATAATAACAGTAACTAGATATACCTAAATTCATAAGTATTCGGAAGAAAAAAACTGAAATAAATATCTATGCAATTTACTTCAGTTGTAATATTATCAATCAGCTAAATGAATATAGTGAGTACTGCTCTGGAACACACACACACACACACACACACAAGAAGATATTGCTTGTCACTTCATAATCAAATTAGTGATAACAGCTAGAAGAAAAAAAAGGCGATGGAATCTACACACAACACAATCATCAACATAATTTGAAAAAAAAAGAAAACATCAACGGAAGGAATAAGTAAACAGAACATTTCATGAATATATAATCCATTGAAATATGAACAGACAGTAGGCTGGCTGTCGAGTTTATGTATTCAATAACAAAAACCATAATAATATACGTGAGCATACCTTTTTATAGAAAGATATAATGGGCTCTTTGTGACGCTTTTTGTGCCGACAAAAGGTGAATCAGAATGAGGAATACGCGCGCACACACACACACACGACATCACCTTTGAGAATAAAACAGAAGAGGTAAACACAGCATATGCACCACTACTATTACTACTAGCACCAACAATAAATAAGTAGTATGTATTTCTATCGTCTTTAACAAATTACACCTTGTTTTCTATTATTGTATTTGTTGTTGAGAAGAGGAATATAAACTATTCTAAGGGAAACAGAAGTAGATATTGTTCTGTTTCAGGCTCTCGTTCTCTCTGATTACCACTTTTCCTCTGTTCAATATTTTCAAGTTAAAAGTTTTTTTTTAAAAAATTATTTCTCAGAACAATAAACAACCACAACAACAGAATAATAAATAAAATCAGTTGAATCTCAAATTCAAAGTAAGCAATACAAGAAAATGATGAAAATAAATGAGGTAAGTCGACAAAGTCAGTCAATCAATTAAACAAGTGGACGAATATATAAATAAACAACATATCAGTAGTATTTATGAGATGTTATCATATATTTTCTCGTTGGAATAACACAAAAATAAAGAATGACACAGATATACGTTTCCAGGGTATATATTCATCAATGCAACCCAAAGTGAAAAGTAATAAGAGACGAGGGGGGGGAGGGGAGAGAGGAAGAACACATTCATCTCATTTAACATTGATACTGATGAAATAAGCATAATTGAATTGAATAAATCAAAAAATTATTGCACATATAAAATCTTAAAGCCTTTGAAAATAATAGAACATACAGTGATCAACTGGAACAAGCCAACAATCCTGATTAACAACACTGCATAGCATTCAGTATACACACACACATAGGCTACATGATAAATAAACCAAAACCGTACAGAGAAATATCACAGTGATAATAATAATATTATTATTATTAATACTATGAATGAAGAGTATAGTCTATACTAGTTCATCAAATGCATACTTCCCATTGTAATACAGCGGTATCTTTGCCTCCAGTTGATATTAATCTAGATCCGTCGTATAAGAATGTGACATTTGTCACATGACTTGAATGACCATTATAAGAACGAAATTCTGCCTAAAAAAAAACAAACAAACAAAAGACACATGCGACAAAATAGTACAATTACTTTCATGTACTGTTGCTAGCAGTACTATTTTCTGAGTTTAGGAACTCCACTTTCAAATAATAGGTACCAGGTTCGAATCCGACTCCTTTTTCCACCTCAGCAACCTTGTAGTCTCCATAAACCCTTGCATAACAAGTTTGAGATATATGATTATTATTTTTAGTATTCATTTTAATGACTACAAGTTTCTCTATAATTGAAGATCATGCATCACATCAAGCATACACACAAGACTTTCACGCGTAAAGAGTCTTCAAACTATAGTGTCTGTTAAATGGGCATTAACACCATGAAGATAGATCAGTGAATGAGCATCTACTCCTAGAGCTTAAAAAGTATACCATCAACACACTTATACAAGAGTAATCAGATTGAGAAGAAAGAATTTATTTCATTACTGATAAATTGATATTTCACAAATTTGTGTATGTGTGTGTGTAAAACTAAATCAAAGAAATGAAAGCATCCAGTGAATAAGGCAAATATATAATCACCTTTATAGTATGAATAGAATAAATGAATAAAACAAGAGACAGAAGAAGAAAAAAAAGAAGAAGAGTACCCAACTGTAAATAACCTTGAGAGAAAATGAATGATGGAATGAGTATTTCAGTAAATAATAACAGTAACTAGATATACCTAAATTCATAAGTATTCGGAAGAAAAAAACTGAAATAAATATCTATGCAATTTACTTCAGTTGTAATATTATCAATCAGCTAAATGAATATAGTGAGTACTGCTCTGGAACACACACACACACACACACACACACACAAGAAGATATTGCTTGTCACTTCATAATCAAATTAGTGATAACAGCTAGAAGAAAAAAAAGGCGATGGAATCTACACACAACACAATCATCAACATAATTTGAAAAAAAAGAAAACATCAACGGAAGGAATAAGTAAACAGAACATTTCATGAATATATAATCCATTGAAATATGAACAGACAGTAGGCTGGCTGTCGAGTTTATGTATTCAATAACAAAAACCATAATAATATACGTGAGCATACCTTTTTATAGAAAGATATAATGGGCTCTTTGTGACGCTTTTTGTGCCGACAAAAGGTGAATCAGAATGAGGAATACGCGCGCACACACACACACACGACATCACCTTTGAGAATAAAACAGAAGAGGTAAACACAGCATATGCACCACTACTATTACTACTAGCACCAACAATAAATAAGTAGTATGTATTTCTATCGTCTTTAACAAATTACACCTTGTTTTCTATTATTGTATTTGTTGTTGAGAAGAGGAATATAAACTATTCTAAGGGAAACAGAAGTAGATATTGTTCTGTTTCAGGCTCTCGTTCTCTCTGATTACCACTTTTCCTCTGTTCAATATTTTCAAGTTAAAAGTTTTTTTTTAAAAAATTATTTCTCAGAACAATAAACAACCACAACAACAGAATAATAAATAAAATCAGTTGAATCTCAAATTCAAAGTAAGCAATACAAGAAAATGATGAAAATAAATGAGGTAAGTCGACAAAGTCAGTCAATCAATTAAACAAGTGGACGAATATATAAATAAACAACATATCAGTAGTATTTATGAGATGTTATCATATATTTTCTCGTTGGAATAACACAAAAATAAAGAATGACACAGATATACGTTTCCAGGGTATATATTCATCAATGCAACCCAAAGTGAAAAGTAATAAGAGACGAGGGGGGGGGAGGGGAGAGAGGAAGAACACATTCATCTCATTTAACATTGATACTGATGAAATAAGCATAATTGAATTGAATAAATCAAAAAATTATTGCACATATAAAATCTTAAAGCCTTTGAAAATAATAGAACATACAGTGATCAACTGGAACAAGCCAACAATCCTGATTAACAACACTGCATAGCATTCAGTATACACACACACATAGGCTACATGATAAATAAACCAAAACCGTACAGAGAAATATCACAGTGATAATAATAATATTATTATTATTAATACTATGAATGAAGAGTATAGTCTATACTAGTTCATCAAATGCATACTTCCCATTGTAATACAGCGGTATCTTTGCCTCCAGTTGATATTAATCTAGATCCGTCGTATAAGAATGTGACATTTGTCACATGACTTGAATGACCATTATAAGAACGAAATTCTGCCTAAAAAAAAACAAACAAACAAGTAAATGAAATATACTGTGATATATATATTGGAAATTATACATGTAATCTACATTAGTACGCCTATAAATATCCGACGAAACTGATCGCCTGTTCATACATATCTAATCACCGGTTACCCCAACGTGCCATGTCAGTAGAAGAAAGTACATGGTGACTAAACAAAGATGTGGCATTAGTAAATGAAATTCCTAACTATTAGTCTAAGCTATGTGCGATGATGTAGACTACCTAGCTAGCTGGAGAGTCTCCTCAAGATGATAAGAATCAGTGGTTGAAGAAATTTATTGACACACCTGAAAATCGATTACAATAGCACAAATGTATTCACTTTTTAACGTCGTCTAAAACTTGAATATTCCTAATTGTGGCTTATCCAAAGTTGACTTTCAATCAATGGGTGAAAAGTTGAAACCCCGCCATCACCTAATGAACAAACATGCACACGGTTGCTCAGTGTATTTCGATTCCATTAAAAGACTTTCTTCTTGATTGAACGCACTTTCATCACTAAACCAACAGAACTTTTTCTATTCGTCTCCTACCTCTAATAAAGTATTATAATGCTACTTTGATTTACAATACCTAAATAGTACTAATTCCTCATTTGAAACAGCGAATAATATCTGCATCACAGTGACCGATTTCAAGTCGTATAACCAATAGTCTTCAACGACTGATTTCCGTCATCTTAAGTACCCCAGTCAGACAGCTTGCATTTTTTTTGATGGTGTTTTGTTCTCCAAGCTGGATGGTTTAATCGCGAAGCTTTTATCGTCATTCTAGACAACATCATCAGTAAAAACTTCAGAAAGGAGTGAGTCATAAATTAGTTGCTTATCCTAATCCCCTTGTGTAGTAGTGGATGTTTCTACCGAAAACTTGTCATTGTCTCGGTGTTTATTTTGATTGGTTGTCTTGTTGACGTGAAATTTGACCTTCTCGTGGTTTCTGATTGGTAGGTGGATTGGCTCCATGTCAATATGTCTGCTGATTGAGGACCCACGTAAATGCCAAGCTTCGAAAAATTCTCCGGCATCATTTATATTCTCTCTCTCTAGGATTTCTACATTATACCAGTCAAATTCATGTCCACCGTCATCCGTATGCGCACTGATATGAGCAAAGATATGTCATGACGCTTCACTGTTAGTTGACGTTCACGTAGACAGATACGATGAGAGCGGGTGGCCACTCTATCCAATGTAGTACTTTTCGCAGTTTCTACAGGTTATTTTATAGATAGTGTTTGGTTTGTCTTCCTTTGCTATCGTATCTTTTGGCCTACATAATAGAGAGTGAAGTGATTTCGTGGGCTTGTGAGATAAACCGTTTCTAAAAGGCTTCAATAATCTAGTCATCGTCTCGGAGACGTTCTTCATATAGGATAAGACAATCCATTTGTTGGTCTGGGAGGCTGAACTTTTGCTTGACAACGAATTGTGTAAATATATTTTGATGAAGTTGGGTCGATACCGGTTCTTTGGGAGAACAGTCGTTAAATCGTTCTCTTCTCCGCAAGGCTGATATACTTACACTGTGTCTTTACTCTTGTGAAAAATGTTTTTATACAAATGATCTTGTTTGCTATTGCTACATTAGTTGAGGATTTGATGCGTATGAATTGGTTTCCGTTCTAGTTATCAGAACATCTAACAATCCAAGTTTTCTATTTCATTTCTCTTCATATGTGAATTTGATGATATCCACAAAGCCAATTGTGGAGAAAACCGTACGGTTCACGTCTTCCTACGCAGCTCATACCAACAGTTAGACATTTCATCAATTAGTGCCTTTTTCCAACACGATCCTACTTCAGCTAACAATGGACGTTAAGGCAGCCAGTGTAGTTCAGCAGGTCTAACATATGCCCAAGCCACGCGTCCGTTAAAGAACGTTCAAAACCTTATCGACAAACCTTTCTTCCTCACAAAGTACCCTTTCGTTATGCTTGACATTCGTCACAAAGTGGTTCCAACATGCATGATCAATCCTTAGATGACACCTATGAGAAATAATGTTATTTTTCTGTGTGATACATCTAATAAACCAACCAAAATAGAAGATATCAGTGATCAAACAAAAAAACTGTAATCTTATTATTACGACTGCATAAAGACTACATGGTTACTTGATGAAAATAAACATCGAAAAGGAAATTTAGTACTCCATAATGATAATTAAAAACATTTTTTACCTTAGGTTTATTAGTAGGATAAGTGAAAAGTTTAACTTTGCCATAATCATCACCAGTGGCTAGAATATCAGCAACTGGACTACGAGCACAAGTATTGATATCAGTCCCATCAGAATCAGGTGGCCATATACCTGCCACTTCCCAACCAAGTGTACATGTTTGACTAGCCCATTCTAAATCACGTAGGGAACTAGGTGAAACAACCTTATGAAAATCAGAAGAAAAAAGAAATAATCTATTCAATTGTATGTTATTCTTTTTCATATTTTCATATAACCAGAATAATTAAGTAAATAAGACACAATCAGTGCTGCTATATGGTTTAGAAACTTGGCGCGTCACGTAAAGCACTCCCAACAAACAACAGATATTCATCAACAGCTGCAGCCTACGCTCACTCGATACTGAAGATTAGATGGCTAGAATAATAAGATTAAGCAACAAGGAACTATGGCGACGAACCAACTTCGAACCTATCGCCCAACAAATATGTAGAAGGAAGTGGAAATTGATTGGATTGGGCATACACTGAGAAGGCCAACTGGGGACATCATGTACTAGGCCAGGCCAAGCCCTCGAGTGGAATCCAAAAGGGAAACGACCAGTCGGGCGTCTGAGTCGAGGGTGACATGGAGGAGATAATGTGAGGAAGAAATGAAAGCTTGTGGGCTGTCGTGGAGTCAGGTTGAAAAGACTGCAGAGAAGAGAGTGCAATGGAGACGTGGTACTGAAGTCCTATGTTCCACTACGAACCCAAGGGACAAATATTTTTCGAATATCGAACATAATAGTAACGTTACAATATAATTTACTGCATATAAATATCTCAGTTAAAAAGAGATTTTCATCACTAACAAATACAAATGACTATGCAACAACTCTGAAACTGATGTAACAAATATCAAGAAGAAAAACATTTACTCATTATAATTGACCAAGAGAAAACCGACAAAAACTTTGTATAAAGCTTCATAATCAAAGTTTTTGACAAGCACTTTACCTGAAAAGTACTAACCTTACTCAATGTTTTTTTTAGCTGCATTTTAATGTACAAGTTTATTCTAAGAAAACTGTAAAAAGTCCCATAATAATCAATAGGTGAAGTAATATGTGAATTATCAAAACACAAAAGGTCAAAAACACCTTAACAGTAGATCTCTCTCTCTGTTGAATGTTGATTGCATCCGAATAGCATAATTCACCAATCAGTATACATGTCACATTTTGTGAGAATCATTCAGAGTTGTTTTGTTATTTGGTGGATAAAAGGCTTCTCTTAGACTATATTCAACAAATCGATTACGACCTCATCTCCTTTCAGGTTACACATTCCACTTTGTACAACTGAATCAATTCACATAGATCATAGTGAAAAGGCTTTCGGAAATCTATTACCCTCCGACTATTGTAACTAAATACTGTGTCTAAAATATAGGGATACTTGTAATTCCCCGTTGCTATACAGCTTCGAATTGCTCGAGTATCAAGTGATGAGTGAATCCCAAATAGGGCGAAATGCGTGTTTTGAATTCCCTTGCTAGTCACCAAGATCAATATGCCATCATGAATATCGAGTTATCCGCATAGGAGTCTATCTCCCAACAAAGGTCGAGCAATTCGACCCTGTATAGCAATAGGAAATTACAGGTATCATAACAACAACTGATACATGTTGCACAAGAGGTGGCCATCGTGCCCCAGCGGCTTAGTAAACAACACCTCGGGGTATGAATAGATGGGTACTTGATTCGAGTCTCAGTGGGAACAACATCACTCACTAGCGTGCAGGTACATCCAGCTAACGAGTCCCAAATAGTTACCAAGATCAATACGAAGCGATTACCTTCCGACTATGAAAAGTATCACAGTTCTTACATTTAATTTGTTTACCGCTTCAACCAACTTAAAACACAGATTCACTTATAAGTATGTCAGTATGGTGTTCAACTCGGTCATATTTCTGATCAATTAACAAATTTCTAAGGTCAATAGCCTTTACTGTTTTTAATAGAGTTTATCATTAAAAATGTAGAGGATAAGTTTTATACTTTCTCTTTCTCCTCCTCGGTGTGTGCGTATGAGTTTCGTTAACCTGTAAACGAAAATGTTATGAACCACCAACGTTGCAGTGATTGTTAATATTTTCAACCTAAAATGTCACTGAACATGTGTTGTACATTTTCATTGTGATGTTTATTCGATAAAGTAACAGGCGCTTTCAACACACATACACACACACATATATGCATATATACAACGCAACATGAAAATAATTGTTTACTTATATGCGGTGAAATGCGCTATACGCATTTTTAACATTATACACAACACAAAGAACATAAACATAAAAGATTTAATAAAGTAATAATGTAATGAAATAAGTTGATTGTGACAATCCAGTGTCATGATACAGTAATAATTGGAAACAACAAGTTTTATAGTTCGCTAAATAAACAAATTATTTATGCTGGAGTATGATTGAAGGTGAAATGATAATTTGGACCGCGACCGGACTCGAACCAGTGACCACTGGGTTTCCGACCCGATGCTCTTTTCAATTTGGTCAGCAGTTGGATCTCGCAACTCAGTTAGTAGGTTGCCGAGCCGGAATTTTCATTTTACTTTCAATCATCAGCCAGTATAAATAAATTATTGACATCTTGAAAAGATTGGTTATCGTTGATTGTGTTTTGCGCACCACTGAAAGCGTGTAAGTGTTCGAAACTTCTTGGCTGCACACAAAATGGAAGGCTATTTTCTTCTTAAGATACATGAAAGGGAAAAAGGTTTGCGTGACCACATAGCCCATCGGACATCTGCTTGAGGCCTATCACAAACAAACTTTAGCCGGTTGTTATTTGGAGGTTTGGTTATTTTAACGCGGGGTAAAGAAAACGCATACCCTCGACACTGGAAGAACGTGGGGCAGGGAGAAGGTGTGGTATTTCCGGGACCAACTTTTGTAATCCACTCCTATTTGCCATGTTTACATAGGAAGGGTAGCAACCAGAGTGGCACTGATGGTCATCCAAGGAAAACACCTTATTGTTATCACACCCAGCTAACAGTACGACTTCACTACCAGCATAGCCCATTGGGTCATCGTGATATACGGGCCGGACAACTACGTCAGGGTAGCAGCTAATAGTCGCGTCTTGAAAAGATGGGTTAATAAAATTTTGGTAGTCAATGCATCATAGAATTGGATCATTTCGTTCACGATAATTATGAAAAAATAGCCACTGTTATTACAATCAAAGTGTATAACTTATGGTTTCCAAAATTTCTGAACAAAAATTATCAGCCTCTAGACGGATACTGGTTCCCACAGTGTGAATGTCTCAAGTTGGAGTTATTGGTTAATGATTTACAGAGTTTACTTTCAATCAATGGGTCGCAGTTTCAAACACCGCTCTACCTACCGAGGTTTTATCAGTTAGGTACCATCTTTAGTCCTCATACAAAAGACCTGGCACATTGCCTACAGCAGGAGTTGTGCACAACGTTGCTGAGTGAATTCCAATTTTCCTTTCCGATTTCCGGATATAAGTGTTGAATAAATTTTGACAATATATGACAATTAATAATCACGATATACGAAACACGCCTTCAAGTGTATTAGAAATTGTTATCGTGACTGTTGTCTCCTTGATAACATGCAGACTGTTGAAAGTATTGTATTCTCTAAGCTGCAATCTTCAGCTGTGAAGTTTTCGTTGTCATTCTAGATAATATCATCGGCACAAACTTTAGAAAGAAGTAAGTTATAAGGTTCACTCCGCAATTTATCTAGTAGCTTGGTGTGATGGTCTTGTGTGTGATGGGTTGTTTTTACCAAGGTCTTGTCATTATCCCTATGTTTGTTTTCATTGGTTATCTCGATGACCTGAAATTTGACCTTCCTATTGTTTCTTATTGGTTGGTAGAAAGCGTCAATGTCAATGTCTGTTGATTCTCTGACATTCTTTGCATTTCATCAGACTAGGATTTTCACGTGTTCGTAGTCAAATTCATATCTACAGATGTCTCTACGCATTGATATGAGCGAAGATATGTCATAACGCTCCACGGCTAGTTGATGTTCATATCGACGGAAGTGAAAATGTCTTTAGGTTGCTGTTTCTAAACAGAGTGAAAAGTACGTTTTTAATTTCACCCCTTGCTATGTACCCCTAACTTTACATAGCTTTTGCCTGGTGTTTTGCCCATCATCTTAAAATAACCTACACGACTTTTTTCACCCCGTTACTAGTTTTTCTCACCTCTGATCTAAAGGTTGAACTCTCATTGGTTATGAACTCCTTCATCCCAAATGTGGATTCAGTGTTGTCAAGGTCATTTGGAACTAAATGTATGTTCAGCGTCACTGTCGACTGTATTGACTGTTGTTGAGACAGTAAAAAGCTCTCTGTCAACGGTGTCTTCTCTTTTTGTCTTTGTACATCGGTGGTATTGTTGTTGTGGTGGTGTTTGACGTTCTAATTTGCATTAGAGTCGATTCGTTTGGGTGTTAGATTTGTATCATTCTTAGTCCGCTAGGCTCGTGTCGCTCGTAAACTGTAAGGTCGTACTACAAGTCATAGCACTCCTAATCACTATTGAGTACTAGTACAAAAAAACTAACTACATTCATTAGCGAAATATGTTGGTTTTGAGCATTGTAAAAACATGAGTGTGGAGAACTCAAAGGGGATTTTACCCCCTAAAAAACCTATTTATTTCCCAGGTAAATGAGCTGACAGTACTAAACGAATTGCACAGTAAGCCTTGGAACAGCTTTTTTTAGCACACTGCCTAGATGATATCATCATTTCAACTAAGGATTATTAGATAATTTATACATAAATATAGTAAAAGAGATGACAGCAATCGAAGAAATTGACACTTTCAGACAAACAGTGAATTATTGCTCTATCAGAGCATTTAAACAATTAATTCAAAACCTTTATATTGACAAAAATTCGTCGAAAATTAAATTTCAATACTGATCATTGAAAAGATAGTGATGAAAAGGTTTATTGTCTAACAGATGATAATGAGTTCATGGCAAAAAATCATTACATCAAAGCAAATTAATAAGAAATCAAGATTTATTATTATTATCATCATCATTATTTTTCCTTTGGGTTCCTAGTGGAACATAGGACTTCAGTACCACGTCTCCATTGCACTCTCTTCTCTGCAGTCTTTTCAACCTGACTCCACGACAGCCCACAAGCTTTCATTTCTTCCTCACATTATCTCCTCCATGTCACCCTCGACTCAGACGCCCGACTGGTCGTTTCCCTTTTGGATTCCACTCGAGGGCTTGGCCTGGCCTAGTACATGATGTCCCCAGTTGGCCTTCTCAGTGTATGCCCAATCCAATCAATCTCCACTTCCTTCTACATATTTGTTGGGCGATAGGTTCGAAGTTGGTTCGTCGCCATAGTTCCTTGTTGCTTAATCTTATTATTCTAGCCATCTGATCTTCAGTAACGAACCAGCGTAGGCAGTTGTTGATGAATGTCTGTAATTTGTTGGAAATGCCTTTCGTTACGCGCCAACGACTATTCTATACAGGTCGGTTATACTACCTGGCTATTAAGACTTCACAAGAGGAGTATGGTTTGTATACCTAAAATCCACTGATTAAAACTCAAAATTTATGAGGATTGGCCAATTTCAAAGTAGTATTCATTATAGATTCACAATAATTTAGAGAACTGAATAGAAGTTTCGCTCTAATATGGGACTATAGGAATGACCATGTAAGATGTAAGGACAAAATCTCAAAGATGGCATTGGCTGATGGATATAGTGAACCATCGAAATTGCGAACCAATGTCTTACTATGTACGCAATAAAACCTGATAGTTTCAGTTGCGATCCCGAGTGGGGTTGTGGGTGCCCACTGCTGAAGATTACCACACTGGGATGAAACAACCAATCAGTGTTTCTAGGCTTCCAATGGTTTTAAAAAGTGATGTCAGTCCCAGATGAATACTACCATAAAAGTCAAGTGCCTTTACCAATGAATTATAGTTCAACCCTTAATTCTTTCAGTAAGAATATCAACTTCCGCCTAACATCGAATTCGGACGTTTTCGATCCAGACGTATGCATCTTATCTCTGAATCACCAAATTAGAACCGTAATTACTGAAAATGTTCAGCTCTAAACAATGGAAGATATAAGGAAAATCGGTTCCCGAGCATCTGTTTTCACTTCTAGTTACTTTTATAACACAGAATTTTCCATCTAAATTGATTTCGGTTCACATAAGATGGATTAAGTTGCGTAGAATAATAAAAACGCACAACTTCATTACATGCAAATGATATAACATTGAATAACCCACTTGTCTACAGTCGAATGCAGTCCAAAACAGTATTTCATAATCTCCAGAAACAGATCGTAGAAATCGACTATCTACAGACCAATCAATGTGTAGAACAAAACTTGTATGACCACAACATCGTCCAACACGATTATACTTATAACCATGATCTAGTACGTTATACACATAGATAACATTATCACGTGAACCAAGAGCTAAATAGTTTCCATCTAAAAGAAAAATTGTATTAAATAGAAGTAGGAAGAAAAACAAAGACACGTTAAATCGGTGATCAACACAAAATACAAAAAAAATGAAGAAAGGCCCACCCATTCGATTCACTATAACAACGGAAAATTACATATAAATGATAGCTGGTCCTCGCATCTCAGTAGTTTAGTGGATAAGCCTGCGATACCAATTTTCAGTTGCCATGGAAACACAATCACGCCATGGAGTGTAGGGAGACGGAGCCGACGAGCCCTAAGTAGGACAAAACTCATCCTGGATTCCTCAAAATAAGAAAAATTGCGTTCACCGAAAACATTGATTTAATGCGATGCGTTTCACTAAATGGGATAAGTTATAACAATTTTTGCTACAAAGAAACAGCTTTTTATCCACACTCACTAAAGTGCATTTCATAAAACCGAATGGAATCCTCTGGCTAAACTTTATTCAGTTACAGGGAATTCTAAAAGTTTCCTTCATCATAACTAAATATTATTAATATTTGTATCTTGGGTTCTTAGTGGAACATAGGGTTTCAGAAAAACGTCCCCTTTTCACTCTCTTCTCCACAGTCTTTTCAACCTGGCTCCACAAGCTTCCATTTCTTCCCCACACCCTCAGCTCAGGCACCCAACTCATCGTTTCCCATTTACCTTCCACTCAACGGCCTATGCTGGAGCATAATGTTTTCAAATGGTCTTCTCAGTGTATGTCCAATCCAATCCACTTTCTTCTGCACACTTGTTGGGCCATAGGTTCTCAGTTGGTTGGTTCGTTGACAGACAGAGTTCCTCCTTCCTTATTCTTATTATTCTGGCCATCTGATCTTCAGTATCGACGATAAGAAGCTGTTGATATATGTCTACAATTTGTTGGAAATGCTTTTGGTAACGCGCCAAGTCTGTGAACCATCACATGGAGGCACTGACTTGGCTGAATTAGTGTTGAAAATACCGATCTTGTTCACGCTTTACGCTGAGTAGAGTGGAGTGCAGTAGATCTCCACATTGATTTCCGATTGATGCAGGAAGGTCTGTCTTGTTGTTTTTCTGATCCTGGTTTTCACATCCTCATCTGTGTCTGTGCTGCACATAGTTGAGACGATGCTGCTTTGTCTGAATAGGTGAAAGAGACAACTTCCTTCAGATTTCTCCCCTTCATTGTGATTGATGTATGTTGTTGTCATTGTTGTTGGTTGGGTATCTTCATCACTGTCTTCTCTACGTTCACTTGAAGGAAGTCTCGTCTTCCTTCGCTGACTTGCCTCTTCTGCCAACTTGTTAGTTTCTGCCTGTAGATCTTCGAGTTTGTGAGACAAGACATGAGATATAAATCATCATCATCATCGGCGAAATCCGAACCTTCTAGGCTCTTTTCATCGATCCAGTCAGTGTTTATGACCCTCTTCCCACAGCTCCTCACATCTGTCTATTGCATGACTCAGTCCAGTGGACCACAATCAGGAAGATTATCTGTGATAGTAGGCGGAAACCTTGTCCTACTCCTGTCTTAGTTTCGCTCCAAAGGCGTCACCGAGCTTTCCATTGTGAATCACTTGGCATGTAGCATCTTATAGCATGTAGCTGTCGAATGAGGTTGATAACGGCTTGTGACAATAAAACCGTAGTGTTGAAACAGCTGCTGCCAAATTACTTCTCGATCGACGCTACTGAAGGCCTTTTCAAAATCGGTGAAGCTGAGGTAAAGTATTGACTGCCATTATATGCTCTGTTCTATGATGATGCATAGCATAGCACTACAATTTCATCCACACATGATTTATTTTTCCTGAAGCCAGGCATTCCCGGTAGTAATTCTGAATCCAGAGCATTTTTAAGTCTCTCCAGGATGATGAGGCTTAATATTTTGCTTGGTGTGGACAGGATACTGATTCAGCGCCAGTTCCTGCAAAAACCTGGACCACACTTTTTTGGGAGACTGACAAGGTAGCCATTCTTCCAATCGGCAGGTACCTTACCTTTCCTTCCTTCCAAACCATCAGCGATAGTAGTGTGAAGATGTCCGCTGATGTAAGATTAGTAATTTATCGGATAAATACAATCACTGAAGGAAATCTTTTCAATAATCAAACCTTCTAACTTCGATTATATAATGCTGAAGTGATAATCAAGACGTTGACAGCTGGAGCTCACTGACAAATATGGTTTTCCTCAAAAATAGACCATCATCATAGGAAGAATTTTCAAATGTAAGGTAACCAATATGTAAATCGTATTCTAATCACAACATGACAGGAGATATAAATACTAGCACTTTTCATACTCAGACTAAGCAACATAGAACATAGCAAACCTATTACGGATAGGTGTAGTATATCCATTCAACGTGTAAACATGTCTTAACAGTACCATAGTGAATTATATAAGAATGTGTGAAACAGAGTTATATAAAAATATGACTTCTAATAAAGTTTAAACCTTTTGATCTATTAATTCCCGCCTGTTCATAAAACTTGTCATTTCACTTCTTATAATGCATAACCTAGGCTTAATCGTTTATGACACTTTCTGTACATCAAACCCTAAAATGAAAAGTAGCAGTAAATGATAAACAGAATACGCTGTAAACCAATAACAAACAAAAACACTATTTTGAGGTAGTTTTCACCACGGACTGATATCAGTTGGAGAACCATTGGAAGTCTGAGAACACTGGACAGCTGTTTTGTCCTGCCATCAGACCCCTAATCGGTACGCATCCACGACCCCAACTCACCGGGGTTGAACTCGGGACCTTCACGAAGAACCGGCTGACAATTCATCCACTGGGTCAGGGGTAAGTCCAATGCTTCACAGTTTCCAACTTCTGTTAATTCGCAATATACCGTTACCATCCACCAAGGTCTTAACTTAACATTCACTTCCCTTCCGACTAGTTGACTCCATAGGTCATAGCTTTCATTACAACTGCAGGATATCAATCTAGAAGTGTCACTAACGAGCACTTTGGAGGTGAATGGGGATCCTTATTTCAAGATAGCTTTCATCAACAACTGATATCAGTTGAAGAAAATTATTTATTTATTCTGAACAAACTGTTATTATTCGTGACCATAACAAAACCTTCATAATCACTCAGAATATCAATAAATCCAGATAGAACAATCGCATAATGACACTTCAGTTCCTTCGAATAAAGAAATCAAATGTGATGGTGGTTTGGTGCTCTCTGAGCTTCAATATTTTATCGTGAATGTTTTACAACTAGGAACATCTATGGGATCGCCAATATCAGAATCGACTGATGAGACTGTGATGCAACGACTGGAATCAATAGTCATTCCTTCATCAAGCCAAAAATTTGGATTCGATACATCGACGAGACATTCGTAATTCTCAATGAAGATGAAATAGAAAACACATCCAAACTAATCAACTAAACATTTGAAGGAATTCACTTCACAAAACAGGTGGAAGAATACAATGACAGTATTCCATTCTCAGATGTCTTCATCACCACGACACACAATGATACTTTATAAACTCAAGTGTACAGGAAAATCATACACACAGATTAAATGTTGAACTACAACAGTAATCACCCTACACTCTACAACAAATATTTTGTATCAACATTATTCTCTATCAAGAGCCAAAACACAGTGCAGCACTGAAACACTTCAGAAAGCTGAAGAAAAATACATGTACAAACTGTTCAAAACCAATGACTATCTAACTGATGTCAGTCGACGATGAATTCCAACCTAAAATCAATTAATAAATCTCCACAAATCTCCAGATAAAGACGAATCTAGTGCTCATTGGTGACTAGCCTCGACAGGTGATTCCTGAAGTTCCAATGAGAAGTCGTGAGCAGAGTGGAGTCAACCGAGTCGAATATGAGGACAGTAACTCAACAATGACACTAGATGTAGGTCGTCCTATAACGTGAACTGAAAGAAGTAATAAATATAGACCATTGGATTCCGACTCAGTGGTTCGGTGGCAACATGGTGGCCACGGAAGCTGAAGGTTCTGGGTTCGATCCCTGGGGAGGCGGAGTCATGAGTACGCAATGCTGAGGAGTCCCATACTAGTTGGACAGAACAGCTGTCCAGTGCTCTCAGGTTTCCAATGTTCTTCAGCTGTCAGGGCATGATGAATCCCAACCTAAATCTCCACAAACCTCCAGATAGAATTATCAATAGGTGTTTATCATCAGCGAAACAAATGACAGGGTAACTGCCTCAACTCAATAGCCACGTTACACTATTCTACATCAAAGATATCTCAGAAGCAGTCAGCCGATCGCTTCATCCTTTCGGAATCAGAGTAGTACACAAACCAACGAAATCACTACACAGGTGGTTGTGCAAATCAAAGGATCCATTTGTCAGAAGAAGATATGAGGAATGTGATCTACAAAATCAATAGCTAAAAAATTGTTCATAACATTATGTTAACCGGTCTAACTGTCGGATTGCTTCAAGAATTCATGACTAACTAGCAGTTAAACGATATGACGCGGAGTCGTTGGTTTCAAAATGCATGTAGACAATCCCGGTTTCAAATTAGGTTGGAAGAATAACTCAGTAGACATAAGAATATAGAACCAATCTACAATTTGCTTAGGAAGTAAACAGTCATCCAACAACCATGGGAAAAATTGATCGGACAACAACTAACACTACAATTTCACTCTAACGAAGAATATCTAATGGCACGATCAAAAGAAATTTAAGGTTAAAGAGGTCAAGGTGTGATAAAATATTTCTTCCTCAACTTACGGTTAAACCACACATTGAAGGTCAATAAAAACACTATCTAAACATTCGTGTAATATTCGAATATGCTTCACTTCTTCATGAAGTTAGCAATGAAGATCCCACTAAGCATTCACGACAAAATATTAAAATTCACAGGACATCAAACCACCAATCATCCTTATATCCTGAGCTATAAATCTTTTCCATTATTTTTATATCAAATGTCTACAAGTAAGAAACATAAGTGGTTTTACCACAGTGTAATAAATACTT